AACAAGAGTAACTTGTGATCAGTCAACAATGTTTGAGCATGAAAACATGAATTAAAGTATGATCAGTCATCACTGTGTTAATGGTGTGAATGTATTGCCGTGCCTGGCTTAATCTCTGGTATTTGTGGGTAACAACCCCCACGATATTATTGAGTTAATAAATGTTGTAAGGTCTGTGCAAGTTGACCGCTCTGCCAATGGGAGGTGCTTGTTGTAAAGAACCAACTGCAGTGTTGTTTTGGGGACCTGTGATGGGTTTTAACCCCTCGAGAGAAGCACTTGAAATCCCTCAGCACTTGCCATCTCAGCTCCGGTCTGTTGTGACAGGAAGTTCCCCCAAGGGGGATGGCAGCCTCGTGTTCTATCCTCAAGAAGCTCCCAGTTCACTGGTGGTAACAGCTTTTTGGCTTGTAAGGCTTGCAAGCCTGCTGACTGCCAGAAATTTGCTGGAAAGAGAAATAAACCACTCCATCCATTATCATCACTGGACTCCAAACCTCTCAGGGTTTGTTCTCTGTTGGTATCATCCTCCTTATTGTTCTGCTCTGCAACTTCTTCCCATGGAATCTCTAGGTTCTATCACTTTTCCCTTAGAATTACACCTAATCTGTTTGTTTGTTTGTTTTCTTCTCTTTTCTTTTCTTTTCTTTTCTTTTCTTTTGAGACAGAGCCTCAAGCTATCCCCCTGGGTAGAGTGCTATGGCATCACAGCTCACAGCAACTTCCAACTCCTGGGCTCAAGCGAGTCTCCTGCCTCCGCCTCCCAAGTAGCTGGGACCACAGGCACCCACCACAATGCCCGGCCATTTTTTGGTTGCAGCTGTCATTGTTGTTTGGCGGGCCTGGGCTGGATTTGAACTTGCCACCTTAGGTGTATGTGGCTGGCGCCTTAGCCATTTGAGCCATAGGTGCCGAGCCTGTTTGTTCCTTTTCGTCTAAAACTTTTCTTTCTTTCTGAGATGACCTTGCAGCTGCGGTCTCTGGCCTGCCATCTTGTCCTCAATATTTTATGTTTTGTTTTAAAGGATTTGTGGGTTTTGCTTTCACATTTAAGTCTATGATCCACTTCAAGTTTACTTTTGAGTTTCATCTTTTTCCACATAAATACTGAGTTGCATCTTTTTCCACATAGATACCTAGTTGTTCAACACCATTAAAAGAGTATTCTTTCTTCATTTACTGACCTGGTATCTTTGATCATGTATATCTGGATCTATTTGTGGACAATTTGTGGTCTATTCTGCTCCATTGCATTGATTATTGTAGCTTTATAATAAGTCATGAAATTAACTTCTCTCTCCTTTTTTTAAAAAAAGGAAAAAAACTTTTATTTTTTACATTTCTACATACATTTAGAATCAGCTAGTCAATTTCTACAAAAATGTCTGTTGAGATTTTGATTGGGCTTACGTTGGATCTATAGATCACTTTGGGGAGAACTGACATTTTAGTAATATTGAATTTGTCAATCCATGAACATACTATATCTCTGTTTATTTAGGTTTTTGCAGAAATTTTTCAGTATTTAAATCTTGTACATATTTTGTTGAATTTATCCTAACATATTTCATGTTATTTCATATGATGGTAACTTTAAACTCATTAAATTTTTGATTTGCAAATGTTTGTGGCTAGTGTGAATAAATACACTTGATTATTCTATAGGGATCTTTGATCCTCTCACCTTACCAAATGCACTTAATAGGTCTAATAGGATTTCTTTTGGGGGTGTATGTGGATTCTTTAGAATTTTCTACATACATTATCAAGGGAATAAAGGCCCTGTAGTCTGCCCAAATCACTTTTGTAATTGAATTCTGCAATAAAACCCCAAAAATCTGTCCTTCCTCTTGGCTTATCTTTAAGGTGCTGGATTTTGCTTGGTTCTCATAAACTACATTGCTTTAACAATCCAAGGTATTTTAAAACTTAAAACAGACAAGTAAGAGTTAATGTGTCAAAAGTTTCTTAGCTATGACACTTGACACATTGAATTATAAAATTTTTGGTTTCTTCTCTATCTCACCATCTCCATATATTAGTCATGTTTGTGTCCTCAAAACCTAACAGCGCACTATATGCAAAAGTTGTTTAATAGTTATTGAATGAAGCAATGCTATAATTAAAACTTAGAGTGGCTCCATCCCTATCCTAAAAAGCTAAGATTTAGGGGGGTTTTTTGGCCTCAACATTTTTATTCAAATTACATTATCTATTGGCACGAACCTTTGACTGGCATTCCTATTATTCATTAGGTGGGTATGCCTGAATGTCATTGTCTAATCCCTCTTAAAAACTTGTTTCAGCTACAGTATAGTTTGATCCATTTAATAATCATTATACTCAGTAAAACTTTGCAGGTTTTTCCCATTTGAAAATAATGTTTAGCCTCATTTTCTTCGTTCTTCATCTCAATACTTCAGTTTAAAAGTATTGGACGGTCATTTACATGTTCTAGTTCCCAGTAGCCTTTTCAACACAGACAATTCTGTGGTGCTAGTGTTGTTGAACTGGCAACCCAGGGTCTCTGCTTTCACCACTGCCAGAGGGTTTAGAGGAGGCATGAGAACAGAGAGTTCTTCCAGCACTTAGCTTAATTTCATTTGGTTCCTAGCCAGCTTTCTAAAATAAACTGTGGCTAAAGCTGAGAAGGCTTTTAAAAACCTTTAGTAGGATTATCCTACAAGGCAACCAAATGGATTTATTCTTCCATGAAAGAAGAGAATTTCTGCTATAAGTTGGCAATTCTATCTATCACAGTGGTTCTCAACCTTCCTAATGCCTCCTAATGCCACAACCCTTTAATACAGTTCTTCATGTTGTGGTGACCCCCAACCATAAAATTATTTTTGTTGCTACTTCATAACTGTAATTTTGCTACTGTTATGAATCATAATGTAAATATCTGCTATGCAGGTTGTATTTTCATTGTTACAAAGGGGTTGTGACCCACAGGTTGAGAACCACTGATCTATAGCCAATATGTCTGGTTGTCCTAGGCTAGTGAAGTCCCAATAACATCATTATCTCAATACCATAAACCTCCATTGCTTACTGTAGGAAGTCAAATTTCTCATTTAGGGTCCTTTTACCCAAATGTTTATCTTCCTAATATGCAAATAAAAGTAATATTTCAATTTATGTAACTATTATCTTGTTATTTGTCATATAGGTTTTTTCTTGCTTTTTGCTATTATACACAATGTTTCAATGAATATCATTAGACATTAGGTTTTGCCATAGTTAAAATTATTTTCTTGGGATAGACTTCTGGGACCAGAATACATAGATCCAATGGTATAGCTTCTTGAGATAGCTCACCTAATTGATAGAAAGCAGATGGATTCAGAGAGGAAAATAACTTTTTGGTTATTAGAAGACAAGTGTCATTTTTCTCTAATATTAATGAACATGAAAAATGGGGCTAAAGATTAGAAGATTATTTTAGTGGGCAAAATAACAGACTAGAGGAAATTATTGGCCTACAGAGAATTTAAATCAGGTGCTTGTATACATGCTAAACTGATCTCTTACTTTCAGACCCATCATCAGTGCATATTGGGGGCTCAGGTTATTGCTAAAAATAATAGAATAAACCTCAAGGTTTCCATTGTGGGGGGGGGGAGGTGAGTTTGACCTCCCTTTGCTAGATGAGTCTCGGTCATGTGGTTTTTGCTAGTATTCACCAGCTCAGGAACAAAGTATCAGAGGAGCATGATGATCTCAAGAAGAAAGAGATGGAATCAGGGCCTAAAGCGTCCCATGGCTATGGAGGTCGGTTTGGAGTAGAAAGAGACCGAATGGACAAGGTAAGTCAAAAGACAGGTTTGCTTTTAAAAAAAAAAAATGACCCATTTATTGGTTTTATGTCTTAAAATTTGTTCCAAAGTATAGTATTCATTTGGACCCAAAATGGAATGTCCACATATTAGTCATATCAATTTTTTCTGATCCTAATGCCTAAGATACAAATGGTAAAAAACAGGAGTCAAGATATTATTAGAACAGCTAACCTGTTAGAGCCAGGAAGCATAGCAGACCCATGCTTATTTGTTGAACAAAGGGAAAAAATATTTTAAAAAGTCATTTGCTGCTTTTAAATATTTGTGTGTCATGTCTATGTAACTTCTCTTATTATTTTCATTACTGTGTATTTAGCTATTTTTTGTATATATATCATATGTATAATGCAGGAGCAAAGATCTGGAACAAAATATCTGGCTATTCTAGTGCAATATGTAGTCTGGGCTATGACAGTGTCCAGTCAGTTCCCTGGATCTCTCCCTGTACTACTCTTCTTTCTGTGTTGCTGCACAATGCCCTTGTTTTAACCCTCTTTTTGTTTCTAAACACTGCTGTCTCTACTTCCATCTCTATCCTCTGGCTTCCAGCCCACCCTATGAGAATGTTGGGCATTGGCTTCCTAAAGATATTAAAGAAGAACCGAGGACGTTCAAACCTCCAGAAAAAGTCACCTTGCTCTCCCATCTCATATTGCTTGGCACCACTGTCCAAGGCAATGGGTCTGACCCAGAATGGAATTTCTTGTATTCTTATGTCCCATTCCATCTCTCTTATTTATTTTTTTTCAAGGTCATTTTATCTATTCACTTATTCCATCCTTGATTTTTCTCAGAGTGCTGTGGGCCATGAGTATGTTGCTGAGTTGGAGAAGCACTCTTCTCAGACTGATGCTGCCAAAGGCTTTGGGGGCAAATATGGAGTTCAGAGGGACAGGAGAGACAAGGTAAGTGACAACTTTCCCTGCACCACCCACCGCAAATCATGTGAGACTATTGACATTCACCCCTGAATGCAGACTCCTGCTTCTTTGTTGAAAGACAGGCAGCGAATGCTATGAGGACCCCTCACCATCAGAAGGATAGCTCAAAGATAGCTCCCATGAGCTCCCTCAGCTAGTTCTTTGGCACCCACATGCTAAGCTGAAAGGCATTCATTTACGTCAGGTAGAGACTCTCAGATTCTCTGTTTGAATAAGAAATTCTTCAAGTTACTGGTTTTTATTATCCCTGTTATGCCTGAAGAAAGAAAATACAATTTTCAAAGCTTCTTTTTGGCTTAACATCAAAACCTTATAAATATTCATGCCTTTCAGGAAGACAGGGATGTCAGTTTAAATATTATTACCATGGCCACAAAAGATCAACTTATTAGGGTTACAATGTTTTTGAAGGTGAAGGTTACTTTTCAGAAGAGTTAGCGTCTATCTCAGAAGTCTGGATATTTTAAAACAATCCTTTGTACAATAAAAAAGAAACATTTTAAAAGAGAAAAAAGACTGTATGCTCACAGCATCATAGAGTGGACAGGAGAATAAGAATGATGACTCACTGATGTTCCCAGTTCCACACCTTATTAGATCAGATTCTTTGAACACATTTTTAAGGTGCAGAATGATGCCTCTTCCCTTGAAGTTGCACATCTCCTTTACAGCTAACTGAGATTTTTTTTCAAGCAGCACTTGTTAATTAGGTGGACATGCATCCTCAAAGTTAAGTTCTAAAAAGCTAATTGTTTATATTGTAAGGGGGAGGAAAAACAGAAAAAAAAAAACAGGAAAGTTCAAAACATACTGTAAAGGTGTGGTCCCAGCCCCCAGGCCATAGTCTGGTATAGGGCCATGGCCTGTCAGGAGCCCTGTGGCACAGCATCACTGCCCAAGCTCCACCTCCTATCTCCCTGCCCCTGTCCCCCATCTTGTGGAAAAATGGACCAATTGTCTTCTATAAAACTGGTGCAAGAAAGGTTGGGGATGACTGTTGAAAGGAAAAATGCAGAAGATAAATTTTAAATGTAATAATGGAATGTGGAGCATGCAATATTTTGGAATCAGAATGGAATGTCCGGTTCCATCTTGGCCCCCCTCCTGTCTGCTTTTGTGTAATCTCTTATTGTTATATCGTTTGCTCACAAAGCTGCACACAGAATCACCTGAACAGCAGGTCATGTAAATCAAGAAACAATACATACTAGTTTAGCTCTTAAGATGTAAAACCCAGACTTGCTTAGTGAGACCCATAGTTGCTGGGCCTGAAGCTCAAGTATTGGGCCCAGCAAGCCAGTCCCGGAGTCATCTCCCAGACCCTCCTGGTTGCTCCCATCCTACCCAAATCCACATCTTTATGTTTTTACTGCTTTGTAACAAAAGAAAAGAGACACAGTGTAATCAACTCGGAATAGAATATAATCTTTTCTTATGTGACCATAGTGCTTTGTAATTTATAAAGCTATTATCCCGTAGTTTTGTGAGGATTAATTAGGAAGAAAAGTACTAATTTAGCGGGTGACCTGATAACACAGGACAAATGCCTTGTCCCATTTAGTTCTCATATGATCCCAAATGAAGAGGGATCATTTCTCTTCAATTTTACTGTTGAAGAATGTAAGGCAGATATGCCTCTCCTCAGAACTATCAAGGAACATGCCTAAAGTTCAACAACTAGAAATGGGGGAGGTGGGGTCTGAACCTAGAAGTTTCTGCATCCAGAGCCTGCTTTGATCATGCTATAGTAGCTGTGTCCACACCAGCCTGCCTCTACGTTAACCTGCCTGCCTTGTCAACAGCCTCTGAGGCTGAGCTGGGAGGAAGAGCATGTCAGGGAGGGAAAAACTATCACCTCTGATTAACCATGCTCCCTCTCTGTAGTCAGCAGTGGGCTTTGATTATAAAGGAGAAGTGGAGAAACACGTGTCTCAGAAAGGTAAGGACCTTGTGCTTCAGCCTCAGCAACCTGACTGAGGTGACCTTCTCCACTAAGACTCTGTCACCAGCTCCCATTAGTTCCATGACCTAGCTCCCCTGTATTTTATTTACTCTTTCATTTATGTTTTTTCTTTTCTTTTTTTTTCAAGTAGCTGGGACTAAAGGCACCTGCCACAACACCCGGCTATTTTTGTTGTTATTGTTATTGTTGGTTTTGTTGTCATTGTGATTTAGTAGGCCCCAAGCCGGGTTTGAACCCACCAGCCTGGTACATGTGCCTGGCATCCTAACCACTGAGCTACAGGCGCCAAGCCTATTTTATTTACTTTTTAATCCAAGTGTGTAATTGTTTCTTTCTCCTTTTTTCCTTTCTATGATATTGATCAAGCTTTCTTAAATCCCTGTTTTTCCTCTAACAAATTGAAAACAAAGTATTCCAGTTCTTCTACTCCTTTATTTTAGGAGGTTGTCTCTAAGTTTTAACACGTATTTTTCCCTTAAATTTAAAATTAATAACTATCTCTTTCTGATTAATATAGGAAACATAAACTATTTTAACTATACTCTTTCTGCCAACTGTATTATTGTTGTCCTGTATATTGGTTCTATCTTATTCTTAAACCCCACAAAATTAATTATTATTATCACTTAGTAAATGCATATTTAAACTGACCAATATCTTTACCTGTTTCCTAGCTCAATATTGTTTATTGTATTTCATTGTTTCCTCCTTTGCTGCTACTATTTCCTTCGCTGTGGGAGGCTGGGCACTCATGATTGCTCCTTTAACCGTAGATTACTCTCACGGCTTCGGTGGCCGTTATGGGATTGAGAAGGATAAACAGGACAAAGCAGCT